AAGTCTTTAAATGGGTTTTCATATCGTTCCAAAATGTGGCCTTTATAGAGATTTTCCAAACTTGATCGCTGGCAGTTCTCATAGAAAACTGCAAGGTGATCTGCCTGGACATGTTAGCCCTCACTTTCTGACCCAGTCTTTGCACAATATCCACCGTGTTTTGGTACAATCTTGGACAGGATCATAATCACTTCTTCTGTGATGTTTCCTCCTTCTGTTTCAGGGACACAATTCAACCATAATGGCCGACTTGGCTCGTACTTTGAATGCTTGTTGAAGTAGCAACTTTGTATTTTTATCTTGTGACTGTAAGTTTTTGACAATTTGAAGGACTTTGAAAATCAGGTATCAGAGCCCACGGAGAGTTTGAACACCCCATTTCTTTCTGACAACTTCTTATAACCCTGATACTAGAGTCATCAAAATGTAATTATATGTGTTAATAAATAATTAGCAGCTTTCTGGATGGTTAGATATCAAGCCAAGCAAGTCTGACACCTGGTTAAAATCCTTCTATCACATCTTCAACATCAACAAACTGAATATTTAGATGTTTGTCAGCACAGACATCAAGCTCATAACTGCTCAGTAAAAATAAAAAAAAGTATACACAATTTTACCTTACTTTTACTCTCTGCCAATTCCCAAGCATCCTCGATTAGACTAAAATAAGTGCCAACAGTTATTCACAGAGTATTTGACACAGGTCTGACCTAAGCTAGCAGTTCCCTCCAACAAATCTGGGGGAAGACGTATGTCTGTTCAGGGATGACTCAGTTTGGCTTATGTAAGTCAAATGAGAAAAAAAAAAAAAAAAAAAACTACTGCTGCTATTTTACTCACTCATTCTAACCTTAACCTGAGCAGAAGACAGAAAACAAAACAGAGCCTGATCTAAGCAGGTGCTTCTTCATCTGAACTGAAAAGAGTAAGGCTGAATTAAGTATGAAACAGATGGGATTGCTCATTTGCTTCATTCCTTTCCTTTTCTCTGTGAGACAAGCAGCTTTCTGTCTTATGGAGGTTCCTCAAATATAAAATGAGAGCTGAAGCGTTCCTTGAGGACCGCGGTTGTTGTCTCCCACTGGGCAGATTTGGTGCTCTTCAGTCCAGAGCAGCTTAGAATAAATACTCTGTGATGATAACGACACAGGTTTAAGGTTAGTCCAGCTGGCAAAACCTATTCATAGAAACCTGTAAAATCAATAAGCAAGCTCACAAGCTTTTTTAAATATACATTCTGCAGATATCTGATTTGCAACAATAAGAGTTTTCACTGACCGTAGATTGTATAAGGAATTGGTTTCAGATTTTCCCCTTTTTCAGCATTCTCATTCACTTTATGTAAGACAAACCAAGCATGAAAGCAGTCTACACGCACTGTGGACTGCTGGATAAAAAGCAGCCTAACTGAACTTGAGACAGTTCTTCAACAGGAATGCTCTGATGTCAGGCGATGTCTGCATTTCTTTGCCCACTTCACTCACACAGATAGACTGAAGCAAAAAACGTATTATCCCTAAAATGGGCAACACTTCACTTTTTCAGAGGCTAATTTTGGATTGCCCTGAAGTGCAATGACATAGGAATTATAAAGGCCTCAGTAGTGAGATGAATGAGCGAAGATTCTCCAGTGGAAATTTTCTGGGGGTGGGGTGAATTTGACAGACTTCCCCCCTGTCCCTGTTACTTTCTTTTTAGGAGAACCTGTTCTAAATTTACCACCCCAGCCCACCAAACCTAGTGCAGCTTGGTAAATATTTCACTGTGTATCCCCTCTCAGACATTAAAAGGTTTCAGAGATGCTCCTGGAGATGACTGACGACTGTTAAACACCAGCGCCAGTCACAGTTTTTCAGCGCAAAAAAGACTTCACTTTACTCTGCCCCATACTGGTAGCCTAGCGGAAGTAATGGAATTCTCCATTAGCTCGGGCACACTGTTTGCCTGTGGCAGGGTAATCCCTGAGGGCTGCTGTGGCTGTGGATATGTCCCAAATCCTCCAGAGATATGAAAAAAAACCCCTCTAAACTCCCAGTGTGTGTGTCACTGTTTCTGTTAAGCACACACTGTTTTATGGGAGGTGGTTATAATCCTTTCCCCCTAGTTTTTATATTGACTTTGTGTGTCCTCTGAGGTGTGAAGTATCCCATGGGGTTTTAAATATATAATGGATTTTGTGTAATGTTCTGCGATTTCATTGATTTATGCATTTGACTCAAATTAATTAATAAATCTTTATGTTGCATGATTTATGTTACATGTTCCATTTATTTTTCATTATTCTGGTATATTCACATATGTGCATACTGTTGTGTCCTAATTTAGTAGACTGGTTCTGTGCTTGTTGGTTGTGAATGTCTATGTAGACCTCATGGTATACCTTTCATTTTTGCTGTACCCTGTTATTGCCTCACAGGGATCAGTAAAATGTAATCTCTTTGTGTCAAAACACACAAGATAAAAGCATCGGAGGGTCCCACAGATGTTCAACAGCAACTCATTCTGCTAATATACAAGCAGGGAGCTATGTAATGAAGTGTTAAAATGTGCACTTATCTTATCCAACCTGGCAGTCGTTTGTCTCTAAGAGGATGGTGAAAGGATTTTGCATCTAATGAGAGTGCATCAGAAAACAGCTCTGCCTTCTACAGGGCTGAAGATGAGTCATAGGTTGTGGAAAACTGCCCTGCACCTCACACAGACTCACAAACATCCCCAGAAATAAGCACCACAACCACCCTCATTACTGAAGAATTCTTTCAGAGAGGAGTGTTGCATTACTGGTTATCCATTATGTATTCCTGAGAATTCCCACATCATGGAGTGTACCCATCTCAGGATCTGTCTTGTATCTATTTGACAGTGTTCGCCTGGATGTGTTCAGTCCCCCGTGTAAAGCTTAAGTACATTTTAAGTGAGAGTTGTAAACCAGACAGAGCAGTCGTTGGAGGGATTGGGGTTGAATAAACAGTAGTTATTATGTAATATTCACTGAGCACAACTAACCCGAGCCAGGGGATCATTAAGAAGGACATGGTAATAAAGTGTGGCACCTGAGTGTATACAGGAAGCAGACTTACTGTCTAGGCTTAAGAAATTCCTCAGGAATGGTATTTATTTCAATTTTGATTTCGCTTCTGCGGAATACAAAGTTTTACTTACAGCCATGAAACAAACAAATGTGATTTTAATTTTTGGCTAAAACGAGCCATGTGTATTTGTCTTTCTTTTCATTCTCATGTCCCGTGGTCCTCTGTACCATCACCCGTGCTGCCATGGGTGACAAAATAATGACACGTCTCAGATAAATGATGGACGTTTCACTTGTTGTCATGGAAACACTGACAAATTCTCATACGAGTTGCATGTAGGTTACATGCCTCAGGTGCCTGTGGAATTGTCTGAGGCCAGATAGGAGCTGAAAAAAAATCGGACTGTTTGGGAGGGGGGAGGGGGTTCACCTGCAGTGCAGTTGTAGCCCTATTGTCCTTTCCAAGTAATTCTGGTCTAAATCAATACCACTTGCACCGTGTGTCAGTTGCTAAGAAGCTACAGTGTGCAGCAGAGATGCCAGTCTACACTACACTAAAACCAGTTAGCTTGTGGCAAGCTGAAAATTTGGATCAGTGCTATTTTGTATTCGCAAACAACTTCTTGTTGCTCTACTGTGTGCCAGAAAAGTTTAAAAAAAAAAGCACAGGAATGGATTTCAGAGTCATTTTGGCATTTAGCATGTTTGACACCAAAGTTGTGTTAATGCCTTAATCTGAATGTATCAGAAGTGCAGATTCTACACAGTCCCGTGGCCTTTGGTACAAGCACAGAGACACTGACGCTCATATGTTAAGATAAAGTAACATTTTCAGACATGATGTGTAAAAGCCCTGAATGTGAATTGAAGAATCCTAACTGAGGCTGACTGAGCTGAATTTAATTTCCACACTGCTGATAGCATCACTGACGGACGATGAGGCGAATTGGCCAGTGCTCCCTAAAGGTTTTTATCTTGTGATTAACAAAAGAGTGGAAACCAGAAAAACAGCCCGGAGTTTCAAATACACAGCTTTCATCAATGACGCATGTGATGCTGATGAAGGCTGTGGGCACACAGCCAGAACACGCTGAGATGTACACACAGATTTATCATCATGTGAGAATAGTGGCTGTTTTACCAGTTTTGTACAATCTCAAACCTTTCACACCTCACTTTATTTTTCTGACACTGCCAGCTGCTATTTGAAACCACTGAGATGCCTGTTTGATTGATAGCTCCCTCTCTACCTGCTAAGCTCCTCCAAAGCCAAAGAAAAGCAGCTAATTGCCCACTGGGCAGTGACAGAGTGTGTGACCTCTCACTGAAATGTTCGTCTTTGAAATGAGCGGGCATGTACTTGATGCTACTACTCTGCGCTTTCATCTTAATGAAGACAGGCAGCAGATTTCTGTGCTTCAGCAGAGCGTCTGAGTGCATTACATGTGAGCGGATATCCAGCCTTGATATAGAGATGATCAGATGATGAAAGCTACTGTACTGGACACAGTGTTAAAGTATTTTAGAGGAAAATATAAAGGTAGCTTCAGCTGGTACTGGGAGAAGTCTTCCTTCAAGGCTTTCTCTCAGGGAGCCTCTCTGGCAGAAAACCTGTACAAAGTCTTTACAGTACCTTCTGCCTGACTGACAAAGTCTGCAGGCAAAGGGGACTGTTGTGATGGATGAATGGGGCAAACATAGAACTTGCATGCAAGGAGCCTCGGGTTCACATCCTGCTTGACTTTGTGATCTTATTATTTTCATTTTTTTTTTTAACTTTCTTTTCAGTTTTCAGTTGCTGTGTGGTAAAGTTTAGGTAGTACCAACACAACCTGTTTGGGTTTCCATTCTGACAGGAAACCTTTCTGTCAGAAAGAGCGTGTGACCTCTCCAGTGTGTGCTTTGCTGTGTTGAAAATCTGCCTGGGAGTTAGTACTGATACTTCTTTTGTCTCCTGTCCTCACAGGTATCTTGGGATCACGCGGCCTCTCACCTACCCAGCCCGGCAGAACGGTCAGCTGATGGCAAAGATGATCCTGGGAGTGTGGCTGGTGTCAGCATCCATCACCCTGCCACCCTTCTGCGGCTGGGCCAAAAATGTCCACACAGCCGGTGTGTGCCTCATAAGCCAAGACTTTGGCTACACCATCTACTCCACAGCCGTAGCCTTTTACATCCCTATGCTGGTCATGCTGGTCATGTACTACAAGATCTTCAGGGCTGCTCGCAAGAGCGGCGCCAAGCACCGCTTCACTGACCTTCCGCGGCGCGAACGGCTTGAAACGGTGGCTAATGAGGCGCTGCGCATGCAGGGCCTGAAGCCACCTGGTGTGGCGGAGGAATGTGCCGCCTTGTCCCGCCTGCTGAACCGTGAGCGCAGAAACATCTCCATCTTCAAGCGGGAGCAGAAAGCAGCCACAACGCTGGGGGTGATCGTCGGGGTCTTTGCTGTGTGCTGGCTGCCGTTCTTCATCCTGTCCACTGCCAGGCCCTTCATCTGTGGCGTGGAGTGTAGCTGTGTGCCCATCTGGCTGGAGCGCACGCTGCTCTGGTTGGGCTACGCCAACTCCCTCATGAACCCCTTCATCTACGCCTTCTTTAACCGAGACCTGCGCTCCACTTACCGTGACCTTCTCCGCTGTCGCTATCGCAACATCAACCGTCGACTGTCCGCTGTGGGCGTGCATGAGGCTCTCAAGGTGTAAGGCAGGGTACGCGAGCAGCGCATCTTGAGTCTCAAACAGCGTGGTATGCCCTGTGCCCTGTGCTTGTACACTTGGTGGCTCTCAGGCCCTTCTGCAACGGCAGAGAGACAGCACGATCACTTGAGCGTGTGTGTGACTCAGTCTTTCTATTTTGGGGAGGAAAATCATAGAGCGTACTTGATGGGCTATTCAAGTCGACACTGCTTTTGTGCATATGCCACGATTCTGTCCTGGCTCCGGATTTATGATGGGATAATGTGGTGACAAAGGAAATGACATGTAAACACAATCAATCATCCCAGTGCTTTCAAAGGGAACAGAAAGCAAACACATTTCTGTACAATATCAAAATTGATGTTTGATAAGTAAAAACATGTTTTGTGCACAGTGTCTTCATCAAACACGCATTTGAGGACATCCCAGATTAATTTTCAAACAGGAGGTGAACACTTTGAGGTGTATTGTGCTTTGTGCCAGGATTAAATATTATTTATATCACTTTATCTCCAGTCATAGCTTTCAATTTGGTCTTCTAACTAAATTTACCAGGAGCACCTTAAATGTTTCACAAATGTTTAAAATGTGATGATGCCAAATGAACGGGGGCGGGTGGAAAATGGTGTTAAGATGCAACATGAAGGGAACATCCTCCATTCATGGAATCTCAGTGTTTGTTGCTATAAAAAGAAACTGAAAGTAGTTTGTTTAGTGTCTGCATGAAACATATTTGTCTTACACGCCACTGTATACATAAATCATGAGATTTTGAATAGTGAAGGACGGTTTGGCAGAAAGGTTTCCATGTTTCACCCAAATACTTTATTGCACACTTGAATTCAATATGAACTCAGACACCAGTTGTCAGAAACCATGATACTGTGGACCGTTTTCACTCTTCTTATTTTGCCTTGATCGGTCTCATCCCACTTTTGGCTGCTGACCTTCTTGGATGGTACAACACATGAAACCTGCTGAACCCTGCAGTTTTCACTTAGAGAATTTACGTGTTTCTCAGACTCTTCTGCTCCACTGGTTGTCAACAGTGTTTATCTTTCCTTTTGAATCAGGATGTGGTCATGTCCTTCCTGGCCACACTTCTGTCTGAACTCTTTGGTGACCTGTAAGAGCCTGTGTCAAATGCCATCAGTTCAGCAGTGTGTGCTTTTTCTACCTCAATTTTTTGAGTTTACTGTACATTTCCTCCAAACAGATGTACTGCGCTGTCTTGCATCATTTTGTAATTAACTGCTATTTTATATGGTGTAAAATCAATCTGTCTACAACTACTGTGTTTGCTCTGTTTGACCGCTTTGTCATTACCTTCAGAAACAAGCTGGGGAAGTGGCAAAGCATTTCACACATTGTAAATAAAGAAACACTTGTTTAAAATACCACCGTGGCCTATATTGGTAACCTCATACGTTCATGCAAACAGAACTGGTTCAGCGTTGCAGTTACAGTTCTTGAGATTGGGAATCAAAGGATCCCCCCCCCACACACGCATTTTCAAACAGGAGACAACCCACACAGATCCCCTTCACTTTCTAACCCCACAGAGCATTTCCTCATCAAAAGCCTGACACGCAGTTTGTTCTACAAAATTCATCATCCTCACTGACTAGACTGATACGTCTCCCGTGTGGAATAAGGACGCACCTTAAGGGCTGCTAGACGTCTTTAAAACATTCATAGCATTAGAATTAGTACCAAGGCCACCATGCTACTGCAAGGACTCTGGAGATGTGTTTGAGGATGGCGACCCAAAAAAAGACGCCTTTATTCTCTGTCTGCTTGGAGGTAAATCTTTTATTCAGAGTTTAGGTGACAGCTGTCTGCTTGCTTTCATGACTGAAGCTATCCTGTAGAAACACGAGGATGGGCGACAGTCTGATGTGATGGGCCACAACACATGTGTCATGTGTTGTGGCCTGTGGTCAGAAGGTGTCCAGGAGTGTTCATTTGTGCAAGCATCTCAGCACAGACAGTAATTACAGAGACATATTATCACCTTTGAAGTTGATGTGACCTTGTTGCCCATACAGAAAAATATTCACATTCAGTTACAGTAATGTTTGGCCACCTGTCAAAAATAAGTACAATCTTCAGTCTCCTTTTAGCTCTATTGGTTTCCACCATTTCCTGATGGAAATGTCAGACTCTTTATTGAGAGCCAAAGTGAACTTCCGGGTTCTGTTCAAAATCCCACTGACATTTGTAACAATGCTGATAATTAAAAATAAAGCCATGGAAAAGAACCTTATTTAACAGCATGTTTTGTGGTTTGCTTCATATCTTAAGGACGGTAGAAAACTGCAGGATGGGAAAAAAAATACTTCTGTACTACTGTAATACTTCAGTATCTATGTTTTTAGCAACCTTTTAAGAACATTTCCTACAAGCCCTAGATGGTCACAAGTTAAACTTTACAGCTCACCACAAGAAGCAAGCATGAGTGAGTTGAAGGTCTGTTGTTAGGTCACAGACAAAATCAAGTATGATTATGTAAACTAAGCACTTGGACTTTTTTGGACTTGTACATTTCATGGGAGCTGTAGTTTTTCTGTGCTCACATACTGATAGCTGTTTAACTTAAAATCATAAAGTTTCCCATTTCTTTTTTTTACAACTGCTGTAATGGATGACGAACTGTCATGAATGCTTCATTTTCAGATAGACTGATGCAGCTACATAGAGAGGGAGCTCATAGAGCTGGAGTCAGGTGCTAAATATTTGTGTGGTCATCACCACAAGGTGCTCTGCCATTTGATCCAGTGTTATTATAAAAAATATTTAGTATAGCTGCTTTAACATACATATATTTTGCAGGTTATGTTTTCTAATGTCATTTCTAATGCCATTTAGTTTAGCCGTTTGGATTGTTACAATTGTGAATTAGCACTTAACACAACAAAGGGTGAAGGAAACATCATTAGTTTTTCAGGTATTTAATCATAAACCACATCAAATTCTGACTGCTGATGGCGCTACATTTGGTGAAAAGGCTGGTGGGATTCATCCTCAGGGGACCATGAATGTCTGTACAAAATCCCATGGCAATCCATCCAACAGTTGATGAGACACTTCAGTCTGGTATTTATGTTTTAATGAGATATCATCATACTAAAACATCACTGCAGGTGTTGTTATAATTCACTAGAGGCAATTCACTGAAATGTATCAAGAATTTTGTTGAATAGATGTGGAGCTGATGGTTTACATCATGTGTATAAAATGCCAAAAAAGTGACATTGTTTTTTTGTGTGTGGCTGCCTCCCGCAGGGCCAGTTCAAATTTCTGTCTCAGTATTTCTATTTTCTACTATTTATTTCTATTATTTTCTACTTCTACTATTCTAGCATTTCCTATTTTCCGTGTCATAACGTAACAGTCCAAAAATCATCTGCTTGTTTGGGTTGGCGGTGCACTTGGCCAATTCCTGCATGTTGCCGTCTGTCAAATGATTTGGAGGGACAGTTCCCAATTAGAGCATAAGGATTTTCTAATTATAATTTTCATTCTCACCATGAGTATCCCTCCACTGAACACTGTTACATAATTCAGCTCTAATTCAATACAAAAAAAAACTCATATCAGAGTCCTTGGGGCAAAATCTATTTAAATGGGGCTTTGTGGCTAAACATGTGTCTATTTTGGGTGCAGTGACATAAAAATGTTTGAAACTCCCTGAAGTAAAGAGCAGGAAAATGGCCTCAGCCAGCATGTTGACATTTGTTTTAGCACATGAAATAGCAGGCAGCGTAGTGGACTTTGTGTGTCTCCCCTAAAACGTCCAGTCTCCCAGCAGCCATGTCAACAGGCGTTACTTTCAGGGGATGAGCACCATTGTGCCTGAGAGGAGTGCTACAGACAGTGTGGCTCGCCTCCTGCGCTGCCTCCCAATGTGTGTCATCACTATCAGTGAACGGGGGAAGAGGGTGAAATGTTTTCGTGTGATGTCGTATATTCATCAAAGGGAAAAAGGATAGTAGCAGATGTGTCTTTCACATATGCTGCCCACAGGCTCAGTTGCCAGCTCTGACAGGCTGCGGGGGCTGACGGGGGGAACATACACTCTCGCTTTGCTATTTTTAATCTGCCCCAGTAATTAAGTGGGGACGCTTTGATTAAGCATGGGGAAAGAGAATTCAAGCGCTATGATTTTACTATCTTGCAATGTGTCCCTTTCACCCCCATATGTAAACACTCAGTGATTATGAGCCAACCTATGTTTGACGGCGCCCACAGCAATAAATAAAAAAATTAATAATTTTCATACAAACAACTACAATCCACTATACTATTCTCCACTGCTGACTATAGAGGAGTACCGGAGCGAAACAATCTGCTCATATGCAAATATGAACACACAATATTCATCTGTCTTGTCATACATTATAAATATTTGAGTCAAGTTTACAATTGTTAGTTAAGTAGTAGTATAATGTCTTGTGTGTGTTGCATATGACACAAACAACATATATGGACTATAAGATATTCAGTTGTCATATACAACATATATTACATAGTCTGATCTTGAATGAAACCTGTATGAAAGAGTGTGGTGTTAAGATTGTTGATATGTTCAGTGTGTACAAACTTTGAGTTTGCAGTATTTGTATGTGTATATATTAATTGTATAGTACCTATAAAGGCTCTGCCACCCTCCAGTGTTGTAGCATGTCAACAGTGAATAACAGAATGGCCACAACGCTTTCCCAGGAGGACCCATCTGGAGAATGGGCAAAGCTTAACTGACACAGGTAAACAGAAACTGTGCATGTAGCCTCACCTACCTCACACGGCTATTATGCTAACTCAGCTCCTAAAATATAGGCTGTGTATGCAGCGGGCTATTATGCTTATTCGGCCGCTAACATTCCGATTGCCTATGCAGCCAATTATTATGCTAACCCGCGCGCTACGCCCGTTAGAGGGCGGAGTTATTGGATGTAAATCTGGTTCTATGAGTGCGTGTGTAGACCTCTAACTGCAGGCCCAGCTGACCACTTGAGTTGCAAAGCGTGTGAGCTGAGGTTTTATACCACAGGGGATGGTTACTACTGCCTGATTGGGTGGTGAGTGCAACGATCTGTCTCAGGGTGCTGAGGCGGAGTATGGAGGGGTTTAACCATTAGGGAAGCCCATTAGAAGGCCCTGCATGTACTCATAGAGCTGGAGTTACATCCAGTAACTACTATTTTTTCTTTCTTTCTTTTATTACCTGTGTGTACTGACATACACACACACACACACACACACACACACACACACACACACACACACACACACACACACACACACACACACACACACACACACTAAT